AAGGATTTTACAAGAGCCTTTTGGACGATGCTTGAGATTCAAATTTTTTCTCATTAAAAGTCAATCACAAAAAGTTTGGTTTCCAATGGTTTTCAAAGTTCACACTTTGCTCTTTCCAGTGCAAAAATAATTAACTTTCCAGCACATCAGAAACATGTAGAAATCACGCTCGATGTATTTGTCCAATTACTTTTGAATCGTAGGTTAGGTTATTTTGATATTTAAACTCAACTTGTCTGTACTATCTAGGTTTTGTTTACAAAAATTTTTTCGTTACAGAAAGCTCAAGTCTTGGAAATTTGAACTGACCCTTACTACGCACGCAGTCCTGGAGACTGCCTTTCTGTAACTTTTCTCTCAATTCTTATTCAGAATATATACGTCAGATGTCACCGAAATAACTCGCGGGTTCGATCCGCAAAAGCGATCACCCATCCTCTCACTAGTGATCATCCTGACACTTAATCAAACCAGCCTTTGATCGTCAGAAAATCTGTGTAATTCACATTATTCATAATCGTATTTTTTCTTTTAATCAAATTTATATCACACATATCTGATGACCCGAGTGACAAGTGGGAGAGAGAGGGTGCTTTTTGTTGATGACTCAAATCTTAGAATAACTCTTATCGCTATATGACGTGTCTAATCTTTTTCTCGATAATAGTAAAGTCTTATGATAGGGAAACTGACGCATTGTAGGGTTTCTACCTGAAGACACTATCGATAGATATCGATAGATATACGGCTTCAATTGCACTATTCCTCTATTTTATGAGATCATTTGCTTATGAATTACTATAGTGGTGATAAGGTAGTACGGTGAAGAACGCCTTTCCGACAGGAAAAAAGAAGCATTACTTCTGTTTGCGACTCGCAAATTATCAGTTCAAACAAAAAAGAAAATCATTTTTGTTTTGAAATGTTGCTCTGCCACTAGCGAATAAGTAGATGTTTAGCGGTTGAATATCGAAATCACTTAAACCCAGAATAAACAAAACCACATAAGAGTGTGATAACGGATGGTTATAAAAGAAAAATGCCCAGTTTTTGATATAATGCCAACTCTCGATTATGTTCCACAAAATGTTGGTTACAATAGTTCAAATGGCATCGCTCACATTTCTTCGGTGCAATTTGATTGCATTCAGGTATTGACTGACAAACACTAATAACAGGATATGTTGATGGTCGAACAGCAAGTTGAAAAGCATGTGTAGAAGGCGTTGCTGTCGATAATCTTGACACTAGAAAAAAAGAAAACAAACAGATACAGCAATAACTGAAGTAAATATAAGAGACAAGAAAAACACTGCAATTTGATAGAAGACTGTTAGATAAGTTCTAACATTTTGCGTTAACTTCTTGTACAGGATGAACAGACACACTTGCTATTATAAACTATTTACTTGCAAAACTTACTCGTTGCATATGACGATATAAATATGCTCGACATGAATAAATAGAAAACTTTTTTTCTTTCTTTATAGAAGTATCGTTTCACCTGAGATAAAATACTATTTACCTATAGAGATCATATTTTAAAGAGGCGTATTTTTATGGAATTAAAGTGCAATCGCGTCTGTTGATCATTATTATTCCTTTGATGCTTACTGAGAAATATATATCTATTATTCGACTACACTAATTACTGTCACTGGCAAAGTACATGTCGATGATACTGCCGGATTACCCACTGCGCATATTTACGATAGTCCTATACCAGGATGAAGAATCTTGAAATAGGATCTTGTAGGGTTATATTACAAGATACCACAATATTCCACAAGATCTTATTAGATCATATGAAAATCTTACAAGATTTCACAAGAATCGTGGTTCAAGAATCTTATAAGATGTCACAAGAACTAAGATTGCATAAGACCTTGTATAATCATGCAAGAAGTGATAAGATCTTAAAATATTTCATAAGATCATATAAGAATTCATCAGATTTTACAAGATTATGTCTCGAATTCTGTCCTAGATCCTCCCTAGACCCTCTTCAGAAAAAGTATTTTTCTTTTCATAATATTTTCTAGCATAGGAAGGACTCTGATGCAAGAGGGGAAAGCGGAATGGACTCGAATGTGCCATTGCAGGCCACTCCGCACCATTCCAAACCATTTTTTCCATTCTCCATTTTTGACAGACTTATATACTTTCCATTGTGTATTTTGAGAAAAAATGTGTTTGTGCCCAGAGGGAAAAAGCGTTTTTGGAATGACCCATTCCAGGTCATTCTATACCATTTTAGAAACTCTTTTTCTGCCTTGTCTTGATGTCTTAGGAACGTGTCTCGCTATGTCTCTTGTAGCAATGCACTTTATTTATGCTGAGCTGATGTGTGAAGTTGAAGAAAGAAAAAGACTTTAAGTTTTGTCATAAGAACTGTTGTATATGGATACTATATATCCTAGTAAAATTTGTGATAAGAATGAATCATAACTTTTCATAAGATTTTATAAGATCTTAATATTTCTACACAGTGAGCACAGTGGGCACAGTGGGCATTTCTCAAATGGCAGGTCGATCACAGAATTGTTTTGCTTCTAAACCATTTTTTCATGAGTAGTTATCATTACTTAGTCATGTCTAATGCGTGTTAAGAAAAAATCACTTTTTTCGGAAAATTGGTCTTGCAGATTCATGCGAGAAAATTTCGATGAATTTTTAGTTATTCGATCCAAAACTTATTTAAGGACATTTTTGATCTTACGATCTTGTGCCCATGGTGCTTTGTTGCTGAGATACTGGATTTTTAGTCAGTTTTTGCCTATAGAGCTTGGATTTCGAGCAAAATCCGACTTTCAAATTTTGATTTCAAACTTTCCACACTTGAAGCTCATGGTCATAGTAGTATGACGGAAAAATATTCGATGCTATTGAATTTTCCTGCCTTGAGAAATTGAGACTCGCATATTTCATCAGAAGATAAATATTCGAGTCTCAATTTCTCAAGGCAGGAAAATTCAATAGCATCGAATATTTTTC